CAGAATAAAGATCCATGTTGGCTGTTACTAACTAACTAAGTGTCAGTAAGAAGCTGCAGATGGAAAACAAGGTCTTCTGACTGGAGACATTGTTTGCATACTTAGAAATATAGAAGTACAACAAAATCAGTCGAGGAAACATCACATGGACTGAACCTTCCAACCGATCAACCAAGCAGATAGCTTTAGATGAATACAGACGTTTTGCGTAAATGCGACCAGCGTTGCATGAACGTAAATTCTTTCAAAAATTACTCATTAGCCTTCAAGGAAATTGGCAGTAAGGGCTTACAGTACTGCATCTTCGTACAATTGAGAAGTTGCTTCAGGAGTTTGCATGCTTTAACAGTTTTTTCGACCTTGCTGGCTGTTGCATTCGTTTTTGTGACGGAATAGAAAAAGTTGGAACGAAAAGTGGAAGTTTCAAATGACTTTTAATTGCTGTTTCTAAAGTGGGAAACGAGTCGAAAGTTTATGGACGATTACGGAAGTTCAGGTGCTGCTTTGTTGTTATTGGTAAAATTGATCTTCAACAAGTGTTTTACTGGAGATTGTTGAGTAGAAGAGCGTAATTTTTCCTTTTTTTTTTTATTTTTATTTTTTTCAGTAAGTTGAACTGAAACATAGTAAAAGAACTTTGTTTAGTAAAAAGATTTTTTATTACTGGTTAATTGACTTTCTTCAAATAGCTGCAAAATTTCTTAAAAATCAAAAATTTCTAGAAGACTCACATTTATTTTTAGATGCTTTGGCGTATTATCATTTTCTATATCCGAACGTTCAAAATACCTAGTATAAATTTATTTTAAACATACAAACAAACTTTTTTCTATGATCAAATGAATTCTTAAAAATCGAAGTTTTACTTATCTATTTTTTCCTGCTTACTGTGCGCACTAAAATAATGTTGGAGTAATGGGAAAGAATGGAAGGAAAAACGGCAGAAGATGATCAAGCCAAATAATACAATGACACTATCATAGGTAATTATTTCTAAAGGAAAATTTTTGGTCGAATTAAACTTCACTCAACAAAAGAAACTCTTTTTATTAAGTCAGAAAGCTTTTTCATTAAGGAAAGTCAATTCCAGTGAAAAATAAGAATAATAGACTCTGTTAGACTTATATTTCCGCACAAAACCTTTTTTAATACGTAATTTTTTGACATTACAGTCATTTTTAGTCCTACCAAGTAAAAATAATGTTTGTTTAAAGAATAGGTGTAACATTTGGCAAGTTCTTAAGAAGATTATAGAAAATCACATGACATTTTTTGTTTATCGTCAGCGTTTTTTGGATTTGAAGTATTATTGTCCTACAGCAGGCAGCAGCTAAAATTGCATATACGAGTGAGTAATTCAGAAGGCAGTAACAAAGGAAATGGTAATTTTTCATTAAAAGTTTAATAACCATTTGAGTTCCTCCAAGTGCCTAGTTTGTTTTTCTTTCTTAAATTGTTTAGTGCAAAAGATGCGGTCATTTCTGGTGAAGAATTTTGCAGTGTGTAGTTTTTGTTTTAGGTTTGCTGCAGTCTTTATCTGATGTTTCCCCAACCTGTAGAACATTTCTAATAGTGAATATTTACAGTGGGATGGCAAATGCTAGAAGCTGTCAATTATCTTTTGTTTCGTTCACCAAATATTATAGAGAGTTATATTCACAAAGCGCAGTAAGTTTTTTAGCAGCTTCTCATAACTTTTTTGTGTTCTTTTGTTCAAATGATTCAGTTGTTCTGCTTTAAAACTACCGTAATACAGATCGGTCATACAAACTTCTTTATAAAACTTTGGGTTGTATGTCATGATAAGTTGCATCTAATACTGTGCCCGCTTTGTTTGATTCATTATTGCTTTTAAGTGAAAATAACATTATACCGATATAAAGCCATCGACCATTTTAATATAAAAGTGTGTTTTTTAGAGTTCTTTCAGTCTGGTATCTTTTTTTTTTTTTTTTAGTTGACAAAGTTAACGAATTCTGATCGTAATAAATACACCAGTGTTTCATTACAAGAAGTAAGGAAGTTGGGTTCACTAAACTGAAAAAGAGCAGCCTTTTGAAGTTTTTAATCTCTTTATTTCTTTTTTTTAGCAACGATTACTTCCTCTTCTTGCATATTCAGGATTAATTCAGAAAAATGTATGGCAGGGACAGTCAAAATGCTCGTAATAAAATATTAATGTTGAAAGTTAAGCTTTTTTAATCAGTTTGTGCTGGAAGTTTTTTGAAGTGGATTTGCAAGCTTTATTTCTGTATTTAGAAGCACTTTGTAAGTGTTGCTTCTATACACTACTACAGATTGCAAACTATTTGCGTGTATTTTTGAGAGTCTGAAACAATTTGGACGTAATAAACTCCGGCTGCTTATTTTCTGGATATTTCGTACGTCAACAACAACAGTGACAAAGCTGTAGGTTTCTTGATTTATTAATTATAATGCCGTGTTCTCAAAGTCAGATTTCTATATCTCCTACTAATTTGTTGTTTTTCAGGAAAACTGTCTTTATAATTGGAGCTTCATTCTTCACTATATAAACACACACTTTGCAAGACAAAGAAATGGATAGATTATTAAAATTAAATGTCTAGAAATGGAAAATGCCTAGCTCTATGCGCAAATAGATCCACTATTTTTGAAAACTTAATCAACAGTCAATTTTGAAAAATGGTAGTTTAGAATTTAAAGTGCTTTTTCAAATTTATAATGCACTTTGTATAAACGAGCGTGTAAAAGGAGGAAGAGTAATTCAATTTGCGTAACAGGTTTTTTTTAAGTATTTAAATCTGGGTTTATGTATTCTAGAAAGAATTCGTCTTGATTTTCGTAATTTTGTACTTCTAGGTATGAAGAGAACTCACACTAAAAAAGCAGAAAAAAGAATATTCGCCTTTTGACGATTATTCTTAGATCACAGAAAACCTGTGAAAATATCACTGTTACTGAAATTAGGCCGAGTTACGAAGAAAAGACAGAACTTCAAAAGCAACTAATACAGTCAGTCACGAAAGTAACTTCTTAATCTTTTAGAATTGAATAAAGTTTAAATACTGCTGAGAAATAGTTAGGAACTACCACCGTCATCTTTTTTCACATTTTTACTCAGTTCTTAAATTTCTGAGATTGTTATCTGACGTCAGCTATGTTTGGAGTGGCAGTAACTGTTGCAGCTAGTTATTTTATTGACTTCATGAAAGTATTACTGACATTCTAGTGTATCCAGGTCAAACACACGTTTCAAAATTTTATATAAACATTTTTATATTCAAATGAAGTGAGTATTTGATAATCAGTTGCAATAGCTACCGCCATGTTTAAAACCTATTATTGAAATGACTTTTTAATATTTAAGCGTTGCATTCTCAACAATATCTAAAACATTTACTATTAGGAAACAATAGGGACGCTTCTATTTATTTGTTTGCTTAGTTATATTTTTAATTCTTTAGCAAAATGCTTCTCTTCAATATATAAACAGTACAGCAGATATTTACTGCAGGAAAGATCTTAAAAGTTGGATTTTTCTATTGTCTAACTGTTCCTACAGATTCTTCTCGGGTTACAAACGCTGATCATTTGTCCTTTTATGTTCTCGGTAAGCTTCATTGTGACGGCTATGCAATAAACGAAGCTGCAAAGTTCACCGAGACACCTGATGTCGTTTTTTTTGGTAAGTTATCTTTATCGGTTGTCAAGTTTCCTAAAGTCGATATAATAACGTTTGGTACTGGTTCGCCAGGATTAAAGGCAGGAGTTTTTTGTAGCTGAAAGGTAAAGTTACCTTCTGCTCTTGGTATTGACATGGGGACTTTATTTACATATACTTGAGGTACTATAGGTTTTGCAGGAAACGGTTGAGGAATAACAGTTTTTTCTGATTCTTTTTTTTGTGATTTGAGGTATTCTGCATTTGTAATTGGTACAATAGGTTCCTCCATCATTGGTTGTGCTTTCTCAGGCTTTTCCACTGGAATTGGTGCTGTCACAGTTTTTTCTACTGCTGGCTGTATTTGATTTTGTTTTTCTGGCGGTTGTCGCACACCTACAGGTTTTTCTGTAAGAAATGTTGATAACAGGGATATATTCATCGATGAATTAAATGCACTAAGTTTTTCTGCTAGAGGTATTTGCTGCTCGCTTTTTCTATAAGTAATGTGCGGTACAATAGGTTTCAAGTTTGTTACAGAAGCCATTATTGGTTTTCCGGCAGGCGGCTTGAAGGCTGCATTTTTTCCTCGCGGTATTGGAAGGGTAGCAAACACTTCATTTGGTGTTTGTATTGCAGCAGGTTTTTCTCCTGACTTTGGTGACATTACAAGTCTCTCATTTCCGGTTGTCACTAAGCTTCTCACTGATACTGGCGTTATTGCTTGTTCTTCAGTTGAATTAAACATGCTTGTATTACTATTGCTTGTTTCCAGAGCAGTATTGTTATTTGCATAAGGAAGCGGTTGAGCATTTCCTTTGGTCGATGAATTGTTAGAACTGAAGAGACGCCTAAGTCTTGTTGTAACTGTTTTTCTGAATGGTTTTATAGCGACGTAGTCTACGGGAATACCAAAGTTTTTTTGCAAAGATTCGTTTTTCAGCTTGCAAGCAAAAAAAACCGAGTTGTTTGGTGAGCAACTGCAGTTGCACTGAAGATTACTAAATTCGGTACAAGGATTCATCTTCTTCGCATGCTCGTCAAAGCTTTGACTCGTTAGCATTACCGAGGTGGAATTTGTTGATGCTGTAGTTGGCGTTAGGGGAGATTGCACAGTTGTCACTTCGTCATATCCGTAAGTTCTGAAAACATTTTTGATATATATTTTTCAAACTTTGTCGAGCTTTAATCATTTTAACCCTACAGCTTGTAAAGCAGGACGGTCATTGTTACATATTTTAAAATTTTTTGTAGAATTTGCAGCAGTATTGCACAAAAGCATCTGAATCAATGATTCTCAGGGGAGGTGATGGTGGGTGGCAGACGGATTATAAATTTAAAAAGTTGATGAGAAGTGTTGGAAGGACAATAAATGATTCAGATGATCATCGGGGATTTGGGATTTAAGGTGAGTACTAATGGTTGCTATGAGTTGTGGTCATTTTTTAATAGGAAATATCAATGCGATTTCAAGACCGTCTACTTTCCTTTTGTGAAAAAATTTAACACTAATAAGCTGCTACGCTTAAGACATTTATTTACTTTTGTTTTAATATGACTACGCGGTTGTTGAAAATAGGTGCTGACGGCTGGGAGAAATCTTACATGAAGCGGAAGGGGAAGAAAGCAGTCTAGTGCGAAGGCGATGACAAAATTTTCTTTTCAGGAAGGAAGAATGGGGCATTAAAAAGTTGAGGTTAATCGATAATCAATTCGGGCTTTACTCTGTTTGATTACACCAAGTTATGTAACTAACCGTTTGAGAAAGAAAATTGGGCACTTATTTAGTATTGTGAACCTGAATTGTATCCATTTTACGCTTGGATAATAATACGAAAGCATAATTGACAAATAAGTTGTTTTTTCATTCTAATCAATCGAGGCCGAGTGCCGGAATACATTCAAAATCTTAGCTTTTTTTTTCTTTAGTCCTCTGTTAAGCTTCTCAGGTGAAGAGTATAAAAGCGAGTGAAATCAAAAAATTTCAAAACGTCAGGAAGTTTTATTAGTTTTTATATAAATTAACGATAAAACTTCTACTAGAATTAAGGAACATTAGCTGTTGTTTGTCATTTACCAGTGAATGTTCTACGAAAATTTTTAACATGGAGTTAAAAAAGGCAAAAAGTAGACTGGTAAAAATGTGGAACACTCACTGGTAAATGACAAACAACAGCTATTGTTGTTGGGAAGCAGTCAGTTTCTGGCTTTAAAATATAGACGAATACAAAACAAGCAGTCAGTGTAATAACGTTCAATATAAGGAGTTACGCCGTGTCAAATATGATGACTAAAATTGTAATTTTATTGTGAGTTGCGTACGATGTGGCAAAGCATTGGTGCTACCACATGAAGAAGCAGCTTTGTGGTATAATGTATATAAAACAGCTCATTTTTACTTTTTGATTACCAGAAAAAAACATGTGCCAAACAATGCCCTGCCATTTTAGGTTTTGATGGTCTTTTGAAAACCAGAAGCTGGAATGCTTCTTCAACTACGGAATAGCAGAAGAGGTTCCCTTCTTTAAGGATCAATTTGTCCAGGAAGGCGGAGCTTAGATACGCTTTGCTAAGTAAGTATTTAGGACTGATCTATGTTAACAGCTTTTAAATCTCAGAATAAATTAGTATTGTCTTTTTATATCTTGTTTTTTACTTGCAGCTAAGAGAAAAATTGTTAAAAAATACGATCAAATTTTTTGTCACCGCCAGTGAAACAGAATGCTTATTATTTACAAGACAAAGCACTCAGTTGTTACCAGTAAAAGAAAGGTAAAGTTCCACTTACCCGGATAAGCCTCTAACAAGCAGTGTGGCCAAAGCTATTGAGAAAATGGTAAAGAACGGCATTTCTTCTTTCCTGAAATACTTTGTTTTCAAAAGAATAAAATGATAGTAATAATGCAATTTCAGTTATCCGATTCTGTCAAAAAATATTATTGTTAATTGTCAACCATAAATAACATTTCTTCTTAAAAAAATTTTATTAGCAAAGATTTTTTCTTTATTTTACTTTTTTTTTGCATTTGTTTATTTTATGAACTACTTAAGAAGTGAACATCAGATTTTCAACATCTTAATTTTTTAAGTCGTAAAATAAGTATGAGATCGTACTTTTAAGGCAATTATTGTTTTACACTGAAAGGTCACAAACAAATGTTGTTTAACAATAATCTTTTTTTAAAAGAAATAATTTTCAAAAAATTTCAAATTTTTTATATATTTGATTTCGATTACCGATCTTCTTTATCGACCATATGGATTGCTTAAAAGCCTAAAAAACCGCAAGTTAACAGGTTATTAGTATGGTATTTAAGTCTAATCTATACGGCAACAACATAATCATTATTTATAGAACTGTTGCTTAGTGACCAGATAATAGTAATCTATATTTATAAGACTCAATTTTTTATTTTTACTGGAATTTACTTTTCTTTATAAATTACAGATATTTACGCTACTTATTTAACGTATAGAAAGGGTTTATTGGTGATTTGAAAGACGGTTATTTAAATTTTGTTTACCACTGATTGATACCGTGATTGACAACAATATCACTCACTAAAGCTTTCATACGGCTATGTTGTTAGAAAGAAAATTAGCTGCTTAGGAGCTAAATGCTCCTAAAAATTCTTCCGAATAAGCATGAATTAAAAGTAGATAAATAAATAAGCAAGAGAGGAAAAAAATTTGGGAATTACAACTTCTTTCTTCTCTGTAATAACCAGTTAACAAGAATTAAAATCTTTGTGAAATGCTGTTTTTTTGTTCCAGGCTTTTCTTTGTTATTACCTGTTTAGTATGATGGACAAAAATTTGTGTCTTTGTTTGTGTATGTGCATATATTAAATAGTTGGGCTATGCAATATTATTATTATATTCATTAAGCAATTATTTTCAACCAGCTTTAGCATATTTTTGCGTTTTTTTCATCTGAAAGATAGTTGTTTTCTTTCTTTTCCTTTTTTTTTTGTCTATTAAGAAAAACAGGATGTATCAACGAAATGTGAAAGAGAGAGTTAAAGAGGAGGGGAGGGGGAAAAAATTGGAGCAATCAATTTTCGGCTGTTGTTAAATTAAGGGTGTTAATTGATTCGCTGCAAATAGAAGAAAAAGGAGAAAAAAATTTTTTCACTACATTTACGAGAAACTTTTTTATTTTCATTTTATTTTTTCACGTTTACAATAAGTAAAACAAGCAATTTGATTTTCACTTTCTTTTCATGTTCTTTTACATTCCTCTGAAAATTGAGGTTTCTTTTCAAATGTCAACCAACATAAGATACCAACTAGATGGACAGGAAAAAATTCTTTCACTTTAATGTTTTGACTGTTTCTGATTAATCAGTTTTAATCATCTATACCATTCAAAATGAAAGAACTTTTGATTCAATTTTTTTTATTTAAAAGAATTCTACATAACTGGCATTGCGAAGGAAAAGTTTTTCAAATAACCTACAATAAAAACTGTGTGAATAAATTCATTGTAAGTTCTGTGCTTAGACTAATGCTTCGAGCGCTGCTGCCCTGTCTGAAGGTGCAAATTTTGCGTTACTTAGGTGCCTGTTGCTGCCGACATCAGAATGCTGTGAAAAACAAGTTGGAAGCTCAAACTGACATTACACTAAATACAAAATTTGTTTACTTAGATGCTTTTTTCTTTTTTGTCTTAATTAAACACATTTAAATTTAAAAGGAGAAAAAAAA